TGCAGAAATTTTCAAACTGTCAGTGTATGCGGTAGACATATAGGGCCCCTGCATTGTAGCTCTGCTAGTAGGAGGGGTGGAAGTGACCCTAGTCTAAGAAGAAATGGCAGTAAAGGAATTTCATGCCAGCATTTCAAGAACTAAAGTAACCCAAGCACCGAGAACATATGCAAAGGAGCAGCCAAGGTTTGACAGAGGAGCAAACAATGAAGCTACAGAAGTGACCATACCTCTATGCAGACATTTCTCCACGGGAGACCTGGACGTTGGGCACCGACTAGATACTAGCAGTAGTCGTCCTATCAATCATAGCCCGAAAAGGATAGCACCTGTACAACGACGTCAGATGGAACAAACAGTCTCTGAAGTAGTAGCACAAGAACTAGTAGAGAAGTCGAATAGCTCTTGGTCATCGGCGGTAGTGTTATTTAAGAAGGATGGTTCTCAACGCCTTTGTGTTGTCTACCGCGCTTTCAACAGTCACCATCAAGGATGCATATTCTCTCAAATGTGTGGATGACATATTAGACTGGTGGATACGCGGTGATTCTCTACACTGGATTTGAAGTCAGGATTCCACCAGGTGCAGATGTCAGGAGTAGAAAAATACAAAACAGTGTTCTCGTTTGGCCAGGGTGTGTAGTAATTCTGAGTTATGTTGTTTGGCTTGTGTAATGCCCCTGCCACCTTCGAACAACTCATGGAGCGATTATTTGGTGGCTACTGTGAGGTCACGGCCAGATCCGGTAAAAATTGAGGTGTGGAGCTCCCTTGGATTTTGCACTTCTTGCCACAGATTCGTGAAGAATTTTGCCTGCATTGCCACATCATAGACAGTAAAGGAACACAGTTTGATTGGAACCCAGAGTGCGAAAATGTTTTTTGTATCATTATCATCAACATTATTATTATTATTATTATTATTATTATTACCATTACTTTGTTGTTATCATTATCATCATTATTATTGTTGTTATTATTATCAATGATAATATAATCTCTATTGTTATTGCTCTTATTATTTTTATCATCATTATCATTTTAATACTATCACTTATTCCATTATTATTATTATTATTATCATTATGTTTTTAATATCACTATTATTATCATTATTATTATTTTCATTCTTTTTATTAATATTGTTATCATCATAGTTATTATAATTTTAATTAATATTATTATCACCATCGATATTATCATTATTGCTGTTCTTATTTTATCACCATAATCATTATATTTTTTATATAATTTTCATTATTTCTATATCAACATCATTATTATTATTGTCATTGTCATTATTGTTATTACTATTAATGTTATTATTGTTGTTGCTATTATTATTAGTGATAATGATATAATTCCTATTATTATTATTATTATTATTATTATTATTATTATTATTATTATATTGTTACTATAATAATAGTTTTCATAATTATCATTGTTATCATAATCATTATCATTATTATTATTTATTATTATTGATAATAATACTTTCGTTATTAATAATAATACTTTCATTATTATTAACAATACTTTCTTATTATTACATTATTATCATTTTTTTATTATCTTCATTATTATTATCATCATCATCGCCATCATCATCATCTTTATTAGTATTATTATCATTATTTTATTATTACCATTATTTTCATAATTATTATCATTATCACCATAACCATTATCATTACCATTGTTATGTATTATCATTATTACATCCTCGTCAGCACCACCATCATCCAAAATTACACCGTGCCCCTCCAGCGTAACACAAGATGAACTATTCAAGTTGTGTAATTTCCGCCTCAGGTCTGCCTTGGAGTGTACCTGGCTGGCGCTACCTGTTTTTAATCACGGCAGAGACAATGAGATTTCAAAGCAAAAGAAGCATATTTCCCAAATAAAAAACACCTATGTTCCAGACTGTTTTCTTTTTCTGTTCTTTTTTCGCCTACGACAAAAAGATAAGAATCGCCGCAGGTCTGCGATACCCACAAAAACTTGATCTCATGCGGAGGTTAAAAACGGCATTGTGCGGGAGGCTTTGGGCGGCGCTCGACCTCGTCTTCGCTTCTCCTCCCAGCTTATTAACATTCCCCATTTCTCTTTATTTGCCCACTCATTGTTGTGTCAGTTGACATCACATGCAATTCTATAAATGGTGTATTAGAACTATAAAAAATATGAAACCGCTTTCGAAGTCTGCTTTAAGCTGTCCTCAATTTTGCCTTTCAGCTTTCCCTAATTTATCTTTCACAACGTCTTCCTTTCCTTACTTCACCCACCATTTCCAGTGTTACACGTTTGATTTCTTTTTGAGAGCTGCTTCTTCCACCACAGCCACCGCGGCTTCTCATTTCCCATTTCCCTCTATAATGTTCAGAGACTAAAAGATTTTCCATGCAGCCCAGGTAGTACCCGGATGCGCATTAGCTGACTCACTATATCCTCATCTTCCTCTCCGTCCAGCCTCCACCTTCGAGTATTTCAAACCTGAATCTCTGGTCATGATCGAGGTTTAAAAAAGAGAAAAATCGCTTTGTAATGTCCAGAAAAAAAAACGTGTGCTTTGGATCCCCAGGATGACCGTCAGCAATTTCCACATCTTGCACCCACTGCATATCCCACATGGTCGGTCCTAAAGGACTGTCATTGTCTCGTTTGACTTTCATCTTTGTTCCGACATTGAATATATCATGTTTCTGTCAAACGTATTTTAAGGTATTTCTTAGAGTATAAATTCTTCACTTGTCGCTGACACAAAATAGCATACCTATTTGTAAAGTATTAGTTACTGTATTTGCACCACAATTGGAACTTCGAGAGGTCATGGTTAATGGTTGAAACAAATAAATGTGCATTATATCAAAGGTCATATAACACTATAGTAAGGTATTGAGGCGAAAAGGGTAACATGAGTAAACGAATAGGATGAAATGTGTTAGATATCGTAGGTTATAGAGCGTTATAGGATAAGATGCTAGTACAAAGAATATAAAGGGGGCGCAAATTAAATAAAGATTTGTAAAAGAGGAAAGTGTTAAGGGTATGGGGATTAGATGATAAAGAGTGCATCTGTGGCTGGGGAAGGAAGAGGAACATTGTTTAAGGAAAACTGGCAAAAGAGCCATCATGAACAATCAACGCGTAATATGGGTATATATGGGTGTTGGATACGTAGAATAATCTGGGGAATTAAAAAGGGAATTGTGGAAACTGGTGAAATATCAGGAAGAATGTCAACAGGGGAGGGGTCTGGAGGACATTGTTGCGACAGGGAATTCACGTGAGCAACCAGGTTGGAACGGTGCCAATAATTGGGAACGAAGAGGGAATGGTGCACATGGAGGAGTGGCTGGGGTGTGTTGGGAAAGGGTAAGAGGAGGGAGGTAAAAGGAACATGAGGAGGAGGATGGCTATCGGCAAATACTTTGAATGTAGAAGGAAGTGGAACTGGGATTGAAGGGTTAATGAGGGAGTAGAGTATTCCCTTTGGTTATGTTTAGGAACTTTTTGAGTGTCTTCAAGTGTGGAGGAGTTGCGGAAGGAATTCTGAAAAAAAAAGGTTCTCATGTGAGGAAAAGAGGGGACAGATGTCCATGGAGCAGAAGAGGATGTGGTAGGAGAAGGTGGAGTGGAACGTTTAAGTTGCCTAGTGCCACAAGTAAAGTGAGGAGGAGGGAAGAAACTGGGGAAGTGGTAGAGTATCTGGATTTATACTGGAAAGGGAATTGGACTGGGTGAAAGGAGGAGTAGAGGTAGGATGGTTCGAGGTATGGGGAAGAGAAATTGGGGAAATACTGAAACATTTTGTGAAGATGGGAGAGGAGCAGAGCGAAGGACGGTTTTGGAATAGGTGGTGAGACAAAAACCTCGTCGGCGTGCTTCCTGTCTGACCTCACATAGAGGCCAATGTATTGTGAAGGATCCGGAACGAAATATAAGTTACTGTTGATGGGAAATTTGTTTATCTTGCACTTTCTTTCCCGCTTCAGTGATAGTAAACAAATATTTACATCACCAACAGCGTCTCATACTCCTCTACATCAAGATTCGATGTGGAATATGAAATTAATAAAACCGAGAACCGTGACTTAACCTGTGCAACCACCATACAAGTGCCCCACTTTATAATATTAGAATGTTGCATATTTTGCAGATGTGATTTTTTTCTCTCGAAGTCACCATCTTTTAATTTGGAAATACGAGATTAATATAGTTTTACGTAGCCAAAACTTATTTCCCACTGCAGTAGTTTTGACATTTTCACAGGAATATAACTACAAAATAGTAGTTTTTACATTTTTACAGGAACATAACTACAACATAGAATGCAAATGCCTTTGCGGTTGATGTGTTGCAGGTCTCTATGATATATTTTAGTGTATGGTCCGACTTCAAAGGCCAAGAGCTACTAGTGTAAGATGTACACTATTAGCTAATGACACTGTGAATACTGGAATTCATATATCCCTATAACACTTAAGGTTATGCAGTTCTGTTTCAACATCCCATGAAAATACCAAGTAATGGTTTAGATAATATAAAAATCAGACCACTTCTGGAATAGGTATATGGTAGTTCATTTCTTTAGATATAATCACAGACTGCACTAGTCTTGTATACATTTTTACTGCTGTTATATATTATGTTATTTTTTATTTATTATTACAAATATCATTCCTTAACATAAAATACAAATTTTCTTTACACAAGAACTTAGCTGTAATGAAACAGTGTTACATACATCAGTGCTAAATGATTGAACAATTTTATTCAACACTATGTTTAAATTCTTTCCTGTAAATGATGAGCTTACTTGATACCCTTTACTTCTAATCCAAGGATAATCAAACTATTACATAGAGAAAATTATTTAATTCTTCGTTCTTACAGTCTAGGTGTTTTTTATCTATGATATTCATTTATTTAAATAAAAATAACATTTCTGAAAATATATCAGGCTCTTTCAAGACAGTAAAGATAAACTTGCATTTGGGAGAAAGAAATTTATTTGTCTTATGGTGTACAGAATATTACAAAAATGTTTTTTATTATTTTTTCAATTGGAGCAGTAAAGAAGGCATGAAATGAGATCAAGAAACCAACTTACAAAACATTAGATTAAACCAGATCCCGAAATTCCCTTCTTATCTCTTCTCACTTCTAGAACAGCATGGGATAATGTAGTTTAACATCACAAAACTTCTCTTCAAAAAGCATTGGTGTTCATCTACACAATATCCCAACTACACCAGCACAATTATTCACAACACCATGCACATTTTTATGACAATACAAAACTGATCATTCCACTAATAAAGTGTGACATGTATGTAACAGTATTGAGCAACAGTGTCAACAAATTACGCAATGAAACTGTTTATGAATGATTTCATATCAAAATCTGTCAAATTTAATTTCCTGTAAGAACAGACTCATTTTATTGATAAAAATAATAATTTGCTTCACACCTAAAAATGTATTTACACATCTTACACAGTGATCTTATTGTTCTTCCAGAAAGTGACCACTGAAGTGTACTAGGTGCCAATAACACTACATGAACTAATTCTTTAAATTACCTACCTTATGCAAATGAGTTTAAATACATCAATACATATAATATGGCAATAAATATGTAAATATCAAATGGTAACAATAAGGCACAAGTTACTTTCAAAAGATATAAATGGATTGTAAGGACTGTAACCAATGCTGTTTACGAACCAAAAAATATATGCACCAGTACGTAGGTTCTGGCAGCATACACTTAAAAATAAATTGGTTATGATAACTCTCAAAATAGTATTCAATTCTTAATCTGCACCTTACTGGCACCAAATTTCCAACGAACTGTAATATATCCCTGTCAAGTGTAACCCTCTATAGATAACAGAGGCCCAAATTTTCTTCACTAACCAAAAGCATTACACCAAAAGATATTTAACAGTATCCCAAAACCCATTGATAAATTTGTAGCCCTACAACTTTCTCATTTACAATCCACTTACTAAACTGTTACACAGTCTTACTACTAACATGCGCTTTATCATCTAAAGCCATGAGAAGGTTTGTATGGACTCTGAGAATGACTTCTGACACTTTGTCAAATGCTCCAACAACATACTGGTATAGATTTTCTGGGGATAAGGGGCCTCTGCAATGAAAAAGAAAAACATTACACTGTATGTAAATTAATTACTAAATTCTAATACAGTTTATAATAGGTTTGTAGAGACTTAAGTGGATAACAAATAGAAATAAATAACTAGGGGAGGAGAAGAATGAGTAACAAAGAGCAGAGGGAGAGGATAAGGAAAAAGTAGAATAATATTGAACAGAATATTGTGTAGAGAATAAAAATTAACCTAAAACATACTTACACAAATACTCGTGACATCATTAATTCTTGAAAATTTAACAAGTAGGGTCTAGCAGTATTTCCAACGGAAGATGCAAGCGAGCAGACACCTTCAAAAACAGCACTTCCGTAGTAGATTAAAGACTCGCTTAATCCAGGGATGGCAGTATCCAACTATAATAGAAATGGGTGTGGAAAAGAATTCTCAAATTAATAAGTAAATTAGTTAACCAAGGTAGATACAAAGAGAAAGAAAATTAGTTTTTGCTATGTTGCTACTGTTTCCTGATGATAAAAAAAGGAAGGCACATCTATTTTCTATACTTTTACATCAAACCTATTATCAAAAAAGAAATTTAAGAGATGAACTCTTAAACCAATAATTTACCTATTATAAGAGACTCACTTTTGTTTTAATGACAGGGAGGTATTCTGAAGTTGCCTCAACTCCACTCATTATATAGCCCCACACTGCCTCTGCTTTAGCTAGAACCAGCAGTAAGTACGGTCCAGCCAGTTCACACCCACGACCATAGTATAGTGGAATGTTTTATAGACCATCTGAAAAAAGGAAAGAGTAATGATTAGATTCATTACCTTGTTTGGAAATTTTGGTTTGTGGCTTCCAAGGGCATTCAACATCTTTATCATCTCTGACAAAGTGTGGGCCATGTTAGTAAGTTTTTGCTCTAACCTCTAAAGGAAATTACAGCTTCTGTCTTGGTAATTATTAGCCAATAAAAATTGGTTTCCCTTTTTATTATATTAATAATAATAATAATAATAATAATAATAATAATATAATAATAATAATATGAATAATAATAATATTATAATAATAATAATAATAATATAATAATAATAATAATAATAATAATAATAATAATATTAATATTAATAATAATAGCATTAATAATAGCATTAATAATAATAATAATAATATTAATATAATAATAATATTAATATTAATAATAATAATATTAATATTAATATTAATATTAATATTAATAATAATATTAATATTAATAATAATATTAATATTAATAATAGTATCAATATTAATAATAATATTAATATCAATAATAATATTAATATCAATAATAATATTAATATTAATAATAATAATAATATTAATTTTAATATTAATAATAATATTAATAATAATAATAATATTAATAATAATAATATTAACAATAATATTAATAATAATAATAATAATAATAATATTAAGACAAAGAAGAAAAGGAAACATATGAAGGAAAAGGCAAAAAATTAAGGAAGAAGCAAAAGAAAGAACTATGAAAGAGGAAGGAAGAAAAGGAAGAGAAAAGAGAAAAATTAAAATAAGAGAGGAAAAGAAAAGAACAAGAAGGTAAGAAGAAGAGCAAAAAAAAAAAAGAAAAAGAAAAGAAGAGAGTGAAGAAGATAAAGAAAAAAAGGGAAAAAGAGATAAAAAAGAAGAAAAGCAGGAAAGATGAGAAGAAGAAGAAATGATTATGACAATCTAACTCTAGTATTTAGCCTCTTTGTTTTTGTTAAAAAGAAAGAAAATCAGAAATTTGCATTACTCACTTGTACGACTGAACAAACAACTTTTTCAGTGTTCTCCCAACAACCTCAATATATGGCACGAGTCCAAGCCTCTCGAATACCTGGCCAATCTTTGATCCTGATAAAAGTTAGGAGGATAAATGCATGGACACATTAAATAAACTTTATAAAAATCTAGAAATTTCTTAAATACATATAACCATTGACTTTAAGGCCTTGTCTATGTAATGACTATTATGTATAATTCCATGTAAAATTCAATTATTCACAGAAGCAATACGTTATATTTGTTTGTACTACAAGTGCACATGCCTACATATTTTGTGTATTTTGTAAAAAATATGTTTCACACAAATATCACATTTATATCTATGGGTGCATGTGACCTGCCTACACACAAACACATGCAAAAGTAAGTAAAAAATTCAAGCAAAAATAAAAGCAACTTACCATAAAAAGATCCTGCACTTCTTATATCCCAGACAATAACTGTTACAAGAAGTATAACCAAAAGCTTTGTCATATATGGTCGGGATGTTTTCTTTTTTGCTACTTTCATCTCCTCCAGCAAAAACTGAAATTTAAAAAAAATTAAATGTTTAACTTTCATTACTTCATTAGAAATTTAACAGCATAAAAATATGTTTCAGAAACCTATATATCATTTAATAGTTCTAGCATAAGAGTCTACCTGCACAATCTACTTGGTAAGAAAGCTGTCTGAAAATTTTAAATATACATCAACCAGATTGAGTATATTAATCACATATCAAATGCAATGCATGTCCAAACTAAAACCAGAACTATATATAGTTGTGGAAAATTAGGTAAACAAAGAAGTCTGCACAGCAGACTGAGGACTATGTCTTCTAGGTTTACACAGAAGTAAAAACCTTATAAATAGGCCCACCTACCCATAGGCATGAGTGGAATCATGTAAGCGGCACACAAAATGCATTATATAAGGAGCCTCATACTCTCAATATAATAATCTTTAAAGCACTCTAATTCCTGGTAAATGTCTACTTACTGTGGTATACATATTTATCATCAGTTTCATACAAAATTATAAAAAACATTTCAAGATCATATATTTACTTAAATAATGTAAGGTTAGACCAGAAAAAAATATATTATATACAACTTCCACAAACTAGTCTATTACCAATATCATAGCAGACACATGAGTATACCTATATTAGTTGAAGGAAACTTACCGCAGATATTTGGAAGGGCATACCCTTTATAATGATTTCAGTCAGTATAGTAAAAACAGATTTTTTTGCCAGGACATCACTCTCTGAATGCCTCAACTTCTCATCCACAATTAAATCTTGTGAAAGATTCTCATTTTCATTACTATATTTGTTTTCCTTTAGGACATCTGATGATGACTGTGGTTTGCTTATGCCTGAGCCAGATAACATCTTATCTTCAAACTGTGACTCTAAATCACCGATCTTTATGCTAAGAATATGCTGTTCATATTCAAAGCTCTAAATGTGTCTGCAAATTTTCACATTTATTACTGATCACTTCTACCTGATCACACACATGGCTCAAATGATTACTAGACGTTGAACTGTGAACACAACAGCTTTCTGAACTTTTAGTTTGATCGGTGATAATTCAACTAATTCTGAACTCAGATCTGTTGTACACAATGAATCTGGTGTCTGTGAAGTAGGTGTTTGTTTTAAATTGTCTTCTACTTCATTCTTTGAAAAAACACCAGGTTTTAAGCACATTCTTTTGTGAAGTACATTTCTTTTTTCTACACTCAAATGTTTCTTTCCTTCCCCAGTGGAAAACTTACTGCTGCTGCTGCTGCTGCCTTTCCAGAAGTAGAGCTACGTACAAATTTAAATACATTTGCAGAGCACTTAATCTGAGGTTCAAGAAGATCTTCTTGACTACTGAAGACACTGCCATCTGTTTCTGGTATTCCACTGCTAACTAAACCATCACTGACGTCATATTCATCATTCAACAAATCCTCTGAACTACTGCACCCACTCCTTAACTTCCATATGTCTGAACCACCTCTACAAAATTTTCCCTTTCGAAGAGAGCTAGGATGGTAATCCAAAGGTCTTCCTTGCTGCTTAATGAACTCCTATCTTCAGTTGAAGCATTTCTACTCTGCCTTCTCCTCTGTTCCCATGAGGAATTTCTCTTCCGGCTTCTTCCATAGCGGTGGAATGAATTAGAGGCACGTACATATGAATATCTCAAAGCACTTCTTCTGACTGGTATTGCTTAACATTTACTATGGGACTGGGTGATCTTGATAAGGGTACAGAAGCATGGCGCATTCTCCCTTTCTGATCAAGAGCAGTATATCCGCATATCTTTGTATACATGATGAAAGGGCTTCAAAAAGATTTGTTCATATGGACTATTCAGCAAATTTCCACTTGTGTTTCAATTTCATATAAATGTACACAACCATGTGTCTTGTCTGCATCTGAGCACATAACCATAAATACTATCCACTCCCTTCTTGTATGGAAGATTAACACTAGTGAAGCCATACATACAAGGAAGCCACAATATCTTCTTGTTACTTCCTCATATATCTTACATATATAGTACATCTACTTATTTGGCATTTTACTTTACACTCCTAAATATATATATGTAACATGGGTAAAATATATATTAGTAAATTAAAATAATAATACTTTTTCTAGATTTCTTGTAACATAAAAGATGGATTCTTTTTCTTTTCTGAAGAGAGATACCTTACCTTTGTTGCTTTATTAGCTTCTCTAGTTCCAGCTACTGCAGCTGCTTTCTGTAACATTTTTTCATTTGCAGAAGAAATCCTTCTATCGTCTCCAGTACCTCTTGTCTCTTAATACGCAAACTCTGACTTAAAATCTTCCATTCTTTACCTGAAATTCAGTTATTATAACCATTAATTTAGATTTATAAAGCAAATAAAAAGAATTACAAAGCACTAAATATAAACTTGACTTAATGTTGACATTTCCATATATACCACATACAAAAATGTCTCTTTTCTATACCTAAATGGACGAGTAGCAGAGCAGACTGAGGGCATATGCTTGAGGTACATCTGTGACCAAGTTTTCCAGCAATGGGTCCTGTGTCAGGCACTGAACCAAGCAGGTTAGCAACTGTGTGGAGAAAAAAAAATACTGATAATACAGAAAAATAGAATAATAAAAATGAATAAAAAAAAAAAAGTTGAATAAATCAGTTAAATCTATTACCAACAATTTCAATCTTAGATAGAAAAGAATGCTTGTTTTGAACTTTTATTGGTATCCACAGCAAACCTGATGAAAGTCTAAAAAAGCAGTCAACTATTGCTTATTCATTATAATGACCCAAATACAATAAGATACTGAACACCATTTCCTGATATACATGGAAAAAAAAAAAAGCTAGAGAACTAACCTCCACTCTTAACAGATGTGGTGCACTTGGATCGAGTCGTCGCAGGAAGGAGGGTAAGAAATTACGCAGAGTTACTTCTGGACGTGAACTAAAGGCAGTGGTCTGAAATTTAAAGAGTTTCTCAATCTTCATTGGATCTTACACTTCAAATGTGAATTTACAACCTACTCATTCCTAAATAATTCCCAAGGAGTATGATTACTGTGTATGTTGATATATTTAAACATCCTCCACACACATCACACACACAACACACATATAGACAAAGACACACACGGACATGCACACGCACACGCACGCACGCACACACACACGCACACACATGCATACAGACAAAACGCACACAACACACAGAACACACACACACGCTGACAGAACTCACACACAACACACACACACAAAAACGCACGCACACAAAATGCATGCACACACAAAACGCACACACACACACACAAAACAGCGAACACATACAACACAACAAAATACACGTAATCACACACATATGCACACACGCACAAAAAATGCACACACATGCACAAAAAGCACACACACACACAAAACGCGAACACATACACACACATACACACACAAACACACAATCACACACATATGCACACACACACACACACACGCACGCACACACACACACCACAAACGCACCACGCGCCACACACCACACACACACACACACACACACACACACACGTGCACACACACAAACACACACAAAACACACACACAAAACACAAAACACACACAAAACACACACACACAAAACACACACACACACAAAACACACACACACAAAACACACGCACACACAACACACGCAACAAAACCCCCCCACAAAAACGTGCACACACACACAAAACGCACACGCACACACACAAAACGCACATGCACACACAAAAACGCACATGCACACACATATTGACAGAAATGTATGTCATCTACATCTTATTTCCTATTCTATCTTTGTGTTCCTCACATATATATACTAGAGACAAAGCAAATAATTCCTAAAAGTATAATTACCTTCACTTTTGGATAGAGAGCAAAAAGTTGTCTTTGGATTGGTTTTGATAGTGACCCTGAGTTGCACCAAGTGAAGTCTAGAATGGAGAAAAACTCTCGCACTCCCAAGACTTTTGTACTGTCTTCACCTTCACCACCGCCTCCTCCCCCAAACACACTACTCCCATAGTCTACCACAAATGAGGAGTAGTTCTTCAAACCAATCATTGGCACCATCATTTCAAGCCATACTGAAATAACAAAAGAAAAAAATTACTTTTAAATGTAATGACATTTTCATTTTTAAATTTCTATATAAAACATACACTGAAGATTTCATAAACTTTTAAAAATCAAAAGCAAGAAATTGCATGAAAATTAAATTAGTAATTACCTTTTAAACCAACATTGAAGTCATTAATCCCTGCCTGTCCAATAGCCCATAGTAAGGAGAGGCAAGTGGGTGTTTGGGACTGAAAACTCTGACGCAACTCACAATATGCTGGCAAGTTCACTACACATATATGTGGACGGTGCATTGACATGATCTGTTGGAACAGCAAAAATGGATACTTTACTTAGATCTTTAGAAGTACAATAAACAATCAATTTAACACATTAGTGCAGTACATTCACTCTCCACTGTAGTTTTGTTTACACATACAATTAGTAACTAAGGATTCAATTAATTCAAGGAATAGAGTAAGTAGGCAATATCAGGTACACCTAGTAATTGACTCCTTAGTGAGCCAGATATGTGTAACCAAATGAATATACGAAAAGCACTGTGGCTGTGGTTATAGCATGTACACGTCCTAACAGCTTCACTAAGTTAAGAAATTCCCAAATAATACATTTCAGAATTCAACTGTCCAGGCACTATATTACAGAATATCTTTTAAACCCTGAAATTATCCCTAATTATGAAACAAGAAATCTTTTATTACATCTATGAATTGAAGGTTTACAGTACTTTGTATCTTATTTCTTAAAAGTTAGTGTGTCCTCAGATAATCAACAGAAATTGTTTGGAATTTTATATATTTTTGTTCAGTTATTTAGTTAAAATTACCTGAATGAAAACTTTGTATCCAGCTACACTTAACCCCTTCACTTGTTCCTGCACCATGGATGTTACACAGTGTTTGTGGAATGCTGCAAGCACCTTGTCATTGCAACCGGAGAGGGTCTGTAGCAACAGCTGTTGAACAAAGAATACAACATTGAAGAAAATGCTTTGTCTATCTATTTTCCTCCAATATGATTGTACAATAATCTAATCTGGCTTATTTCTGGTAAAGTAGATATACCAGAATAAGGGTTTTTAACATTCATGAACAGAAAAAAAAAGATAATAAAAAAATTAATATATGAGAGAGTGTGAGACACACTGTGAAAGAATTAGTTAGACAAAGAGTGGGACAAAGAGTAACGGTGAGAATGAGTGTTTATACATGACAAATATATCAGTTATAAGGTACTATCGCCGTTCATATAAAAAAAATGCTGGGCTGCAGTATCTATCTGCCCTGATACAAACAAGACAATTGGTGCACTATGAGGCCTTACCTTTTTAACTTGAGAAGACACAAGTGAAGTGGGATATGAATCTGGCTTCCCCTTGAATGTTGGATCTGGCATATGTATTGGGTTTATGCGAACATTCAAGTAGGAAGCTAAATCCTTCAGCCAAATCAGCGGAGTATCCAAGAATCTTGCAGTCACAACATCAAGAAGGTTCTGCATCTCTGCTACATTCAGCTGAGAGAAAATAGAGAACAGAAAAATAAACTAATAACTAAATTCAATATTTCAAATTGTATATATTGAAAGTCCAATAGCATGTACAGCTATGTAGACAGATAAGAGATACAGATAGTGAAATATATTATCGGTACTTGCAGATTCAAATACATCAGTATGCACTGAAAAATTCAGTTGAAGGGTGATTGATTCATGATGAGTACAAAGTTCATGGATGAAGATTTGATTCAGTCGGGATTTAGGAAGGGGCTCGTGCATTATTCACTCAAGTGAATGAGTGTGGCTCCAAGGAGGACACTATTTCCATGCTCAGGATCTATTTCTGCCCACTATGACCATCAGCGTGGGGTGTTATATAAAATTTAATAATATGAAAATATCTAAAAATTACACAGATTAAAAAATTATACCAATTGTTTGACAAATACTTGTTGATTATCTTGAAAGATAATATAGAGTGCACGGAAAACAAGTCATGCCCATCTTGATACAACATATCAATTGTTAAATACAGACCTTGGAGGAGGGGAACAAAAATAAAAATAAAATGAAATAAAAGGACAAAATTCAATAAAAATATTATAAAAAAAATAACATAAAACAAAATAAAATAAAATAAAATAAAACAAAAGGTCTACATCAAGTGGATAGCCAATTCATTTTTTTGTAAAAACTGCCAATACAAAAGTATAATTGAGAAATAAAAACTTTTTTCCTCTAAACCAGGTGTAACATTTTTTAAACCTTCTGAGGGCCTATTTCATTTTAGGACTAACAAGGCAACATCCTTGGTTCCCCAGGGTTACCTTGTCAAAAACTGTCTGGTATACCTTGCCAAAATGAATATAGTAGAGGCTTGTTTGCCTTTGCCTGAGCATGAGGCATGGAACTGCTGCAATAAGGCCTGCTTGACAAGACACTATTTTTGTTTTGGATTTCACACTATAGGCCATCCATGACAGGTTACAGGAATTTTCAAATAGATTTGGATAGGAAATATTAATCATGTGTCTCCTAAACTATTACCTGACCAAGTATCCTTGGTGATTATTCTTAAAAACACTAAGTACAGGTTCATGTTCATCCAAACAGAAAAGTATTTTAGCAATTTGGGTGATAAAAAGAAAGGGGTAAAAGACTAAAAATAAATGTTAAAAGTGAACAGCTCTATGAAAACAAGCTGCTTACCAAACTTATCTCAAACATAAATAAAATTAGTCACCTCTTTGCAATAATACAGTCACATCCACTGCTCGCAAAAACCAAAAATCACTTCCTCACCTTGCGTATAGCTTCCTCCAAAGTACCAGGCTGACGGACACTGTTACTTTTCTTCTCTGGTTTTTTCTTCTTCTGGTCATTTTTCTGTTCATTCTTTACCTTCGGAGAGGCAGGTTTACGATTTTCTTTACCTTCTCTTGCTGGCTCAATTCGTCCTGCAATTTTACGTTTTTTTAAACCGGTGGGAATGACAAATATAAAAGCTATGAAAAATGGATACTTTACATTAATTGTAAAAAGATACATCAATAATAAACACAGATGTAATAATAACTAAGACAGCAGCATTACACACATCCACAAAAAACATCTTAGCCAATGTTAGTAGATGTTATGCATATGTATCTAACATTCACAAGAACTTTATTATTTTACACTTCATCATGCAAAATAATAATGTAAAATTGTCACATGCTGTCACTTGTCTAATCTACCAGCACTTTTAATAAAACGGAATTTAGATCCTTGTGAAATGAACTGAGTGATGTCTTGCGTTAGCTGTAATTATGTGGACATTAACTTCATATTAAATTTTGAAGAAAATACTGTACTCTTTATACATCATTTGAGTGTTATGTTAAATAATACGGTGCTTTAATTTCAATGTGTGAACACTTGTTTTCAAATGGTAAAAATTTTGGCATAATGAGGGGGACTAGGACTTGCCCCTGGTAAGGAAATGTCCCAGGGGAAGGTCCAGCGGCTTTCCCTGGCAGGGTGTTAGGAAGGTGTGTGTATTTCCCCCTCTTGCTTCAACCCCTGATTCCTGATGGGTCCCGCAAGAGTAAAGCAAATAAAAGGAAAAAACACAAATATAGGTACAGCTGCCTTAGTTAGATTTACTAATACAGATAAATACTGATAAAAATATAAACATTACTGATAATCTATGAATGCCATTCTCCATCTTTCTTTACTTTTTAAAACTTAACAATTTAACAAATTTAATAAGTTCCGTTATTTAAAATACATAAAACAAATCTTCCTTTTCACATCTCTTAACCCATTTACAACGGGTGTCCCACATATGAGACACCTGGAAAAATAAACACTGCCAGGCGTCCCGCCAGTGCTACGTTGGATCAGAGCTTGTGCTCTAATGCTACGTTGGATCAGAGCTTGTGCTCTAATGCTACGTTGGATCAGAGCTTGTGCTCTAATGCTACGTTGGATCAGAGCTTGTGCTCTAATGCTACGTTGGATCAGAGCTTGAGCTCTAATGCTACGTTGGATAAGAGCTTGTGCTCTAATGCTACGTTGGATCAGAGCTTGTGCTCTAATGCTACGTTGGATCAGAGCTTGTGCTCTAATGCTACGTTGGATCAGAGCTTGTGCTCTAATGCTACGTTGGATCAGAGCTTGTGCTCTAATGCTACGTTGGATCAGAGCTTGAGCTCTAATGCTACGTTGGATCAGAGCTTGTGCTCTCATGCTACGTTGGATCAGAGCTTGTGCTCTCATGCTACGTTGGATCAGTGCTTGTGCTTTAATGCTACGTTGGATCAGAGCTTGTGCTCTAATGCTACGTTGGATCAGAGCTAGTGCTCTAATTCAAACCCGCACGCCGATTTTGTAGCCGCCCAGAAACTATCATTTTCGGATTCAAAATATACTGGAGCGAGTGGATTAACCCTTTGGACCCAAATGACGTTGTGGTCATGTCAAGGAAAAACTTTGGCAGCTGCCTGGGTGATGTAAACATGCCATCTACCATGCAAATGGACCGCGGCCCGGGTGATGTGAACTGCCATCATGAACAAAGACCAGGGTGATGGAAAAGACTTGCCATGAGTGCACAAACCTCTTGAAGTGCGAAATGACTCATTTGGCACTTATAAGGCTTTAGCATTATTCCCATCAACAAACAAATGTGGAATGTAACGTGCATAAGCAGTGACTTGAAGAGCACCAGCTCTGGGGAGGATGCCATTTCCATGCAGCGCACCGTATTCCAAGGACTCTGTGACCAGCGGTGCAGGTTGTATTACGTATAATTAAAATTACAAAGAAAAAGAAGCGATATCTGACACAAATAACCAAATGTTACTTTTTTTTTTTTTTTTTTTTTCACTGAGCTATTTACTACATAAAAAGATGATCTGTGCAAGGAAAATAACTAATTATCATCTGGATAAAGTAAAACAAAAGACAAATATGGACATTGGAAAATAGCAATAAAGCTAAAAAAGTTTACACAATATAACTTTTCAAAGGGGAGGCACAGTCTCTTGTCACCGCTCATGGGTGTTTGTGCATGCCCAGCCTACGTGCCGCATGCCCTGGATGCTGACCACTTATGTAACTCATTGCCCTGGGTTTTTAGCTCCGTGATTTCTGTCATGCAACCGGATCCAAGGGGTTAATAAATAAAAAGAATCATTCTCATTGCTATAGCTAAAACCTATGAGTAAAATCATCCAAATACAGTAAGTTATTTATTTCTATGTTTATCAAATATGATCCTATTCCCAAACCTTTAGAGACCTTTTTTATTGAAAAGCAAGAATAATGAATATCTCTTCATGAAATCTGATACCACACTTGTACACAAACCAATCTTACATCAAGACTTGCAGTCATGCGAGCACAAGATCCAATATCAGATCCTTAACCACTCTACAACCCAAATTATAGGCAGTGGTTAGAAGAGTGATACCTGACACCTCATTCAACACATCCAAATATTTAATGCATGATCTGCATTTCAAATTATTTTTGGAACTTGTATTAGCCAGGTTCTTCTTTCAGTCTCAGAATAGTTTTTCTTGTACTGTAAGTGTATATTGTGCAAATGCAGATCTTATTCTTAGTAAGCTGTTAAATCCTTATCTTTATTCTTATCATTTCAAATTCTTGCACCTTGCAGACTTTCCCTTTATCTTAGACCATCATATCCCTCTCTCATAACAGATAAACAAGTTTCTAGAAATAACAACAAAAATATATGGTAGAAATATATTTTGACACTGACAAAGTATGAAGAGTGTTCATTGCAACAAATGTAGAAAAAGGTAAGACTGAGAAGTAATATCTTTACAACACAAGATGCATCTGATACGCTGCAAGTATATCTTCATCAGAAATACACTTTCTTTTTCTGATAAAGATATAACTGAAATAAACCCAACACATCTCTTGTGTTATGAAAGCAATGATTCCCATTCACCACCTTTTTTAAGGTCCAGGTGTCCTTTTCTGGCTTTCTATTAAGTCATGGGTTAAAGTATAGGAGCTCAATAGGTACTGTTTCAGTTTCAAAGGGCTGTCTGGTACAGGGTGAAGTTTACCAATAACAGATAGAAGGGCAGAAACTACGACTCTTTTCATCTATGATATCTTCTTTGTAATATGAAAAATGTACAACATATAATATTTTCATATACATTTACATGAAACAGCAATGACACTATCAGAAAGAAAGGGAAACCTACTCACTGAGGCATGAAATAATCTCGGCAAACAAAGAAATATGCCAGAAATTAAGAAAATAGGTTGCAGTTAATGCAGCACAAAAAGATAAGTCCACAGCCATGCGGTGGGGCTCTGGTGGGAAAGCTCCCAGATCAGAAAGGTTTTTGATTCAAATGGGGATGTCTATGGAATCCCAGGAGTGGCTGGTGTAATAGGGACTTAGTCTCGGATGGGTGTTTTCACTTCATAAACAGTTAGCAACTGACTACTTTCCTTAATATCATTTGTGATCAAAAACAGCAACAGACTGATGCATATCATAATGTGAATACCTGAAACATGGAATAATAATCAATAAGGTATAGATGGTTATGTGAAAAAATATCAACCTATCAATGCATACTATACCTTAAAAGAAAGAGAGAAAGAGAAAATAAAGAAAAAAACGTGCACTCACAGTGTGCATCTCTAATAAGTATTTCAATATCTTACTATGACCCAGTTTTTATAAGAAGCTCACAATGGTTACAATACTGAATCAAGTACTACTCTGAAAGCACAACCCATTACTATGATTAGTTTAGTGTTACTACACACACTTAAAGTATATAAAAGGACTGCATGTGCTTGGGAGAAAGTATGATTAGATGGGAGTCCAGATTTAGAGTCCCCAGCTAGTTAAATAGTGATGAGAAGGGGTCCAGCGGTGAAGCCCCAAGGTAAGGCAGGTTTTTTATTCATATAGCAAATTTTTTGGTAGCTTGTGCATTCAGGATGGGATTCAGTCATTTGAGTTGGAGACTTAGTTTCTAATGAATGCAGTCCAGCAGCAAACTTAACAAATCATGTTACTCCAAGAAATAATCAGTATTGATTACTGAGTGACGTACTGAAATACAGGGAAATGAACACCGTCATTTCATAGAACATAAGAAATAGAACAAGAATCAAAATAGCTTAAGGTAAATAGTCAGAATAACTTTGCATGATCAATTATGATAATTATTTTCTAACGTAAGTGATATAAATACAAGTATTGATATTATTTGTGGAGTGACCACTCCCTTCTGAGAATATCGCTCTAATACTCAGCCATTCCTGAAAAAAACGCAAACATTACTGTATGAACTAAAAACCTTCCTAACCCATGGGCTTTACCCCTAGGCCGTATCAGGGGTTCTGATCCTGGACCACCAACTAATCACTATAAATCTACTCTGAATGGGGCATTTTTCGCAATATTTTTCTTAAATTTTGAACTTTTCAAAGTAGATTATTTCAAGTATCAGCGGGTACATTTTCTCTTTGATTATAAAAGTGCCATTATATTTTCCTGTAAATGTATTACAATTTGCACAACTTTCTTATTATCAACATGTAAAAGTAATACCATAGGGGGCTCTGTACTACATAGCTATGGAAAACAAACTATAACCAAAACAATACACAGCAACCATCTACAAATATTTAAAAGGCAAGTGGACCCTTAGACGTATATCATTTTTCCCTATTTATGGTATGGGTGCATCAGAAGGTGCCAATATGGTAATTTCCGGTCTGATATGTTTACATATCTACAATAAAGTTGCCAATTGTATTAGCTGAAGCCCTTGTAAAATAGAGATCTGCAAGAACAGATTGTATGACAGACATACATATGCTTAATTTAATCAAAAAGTTTACTTGGTTTATTCATAATCCTCAAATAATTTCTTCAATAGCAAAAAAATAGTGTATTAAGGACTTTCTTTATCATTTGTTTCAACATCCCAAAATCAATCTGTAAAGCTGCAAAAATACTATCTAGCTAGCCAGATCTACCTTTAAACAGACCAATGAAATAATAAGACAGAATTTTCACTTCCAAGCCAACAAACATATTTGAACTTAATTCTAACTAAATATCCGGGATTTCTCACCTGTATCTGTAAGCCGCAACGCCTTCTCCATAAACTGCCTCTTTTCTTCCTTGTGAGTTTTGCCATTTGCAACCGTTTTACTCTTCTTCGAGCCTCTCACCACTTAATTCCCACTCTCCGGCACCTGCCATGTTGGAGGTCCTGCCTGATGGAAGTGACGGGTGGGGTACGGACCCAACGAATCTTTGGCTGTTATTTTGGCTTTTTTTGAAAATCGTCTGTTAAAATGAATTTTAAAGCTATAATTCCTTATCTATATTTATGCGATTGTTTTTAGTGTTGTGTAATATTTATGACGTGTGTACTGATAAAGATGAAGGACAGGGGCTTAAAATATTTTAGATATATTCTGCATAATTTATAAGGCGGACTACTATAAGGACGATAGAAATCTATTGTATAGTTACAAGTGGCATTTTTAGATTATATTAATAACTTTATAGTCACATACATTTATTAGAAAGGAGGAAATGTTGAATATTTATAGATATTTAAAGACCTCTTTAGATTTACAAATAATTGGTTAAAAATTACTAAAAAGCATTTTTCCTGATATTCACGATATTTCATTGGCTTCCAGCTTGTATGACATGAACTGAGACAACTCGTAAAATGTAATGGATGATCTGGAGTAATACGTGTCCCTTCGTGTTCTCTCCGAGATAAATCCGGGTAAATCCACGAACGCCTTCATGCGAATCACGAACGCATCCAAATTCAGGTTATGCGAACGATCAACTATAATAATCTCGTATCATAACATCGCCATAGCCATTTAATTGCTGAGGTTTCTATGTCGTGAAGGAGTTTTTTTCCCTTTTGGGAGTGTTTACAGTAAGTTTAAATTGTTACTGAAATATATAAGATGTGGAATACGTATGAAAACCTGTTATTGCCCTCCTGCATCTTGTTGAAATCTAGATATATGAATATGTAAACAAGGGCTTTACGTTTGGTAATTGTAGAAGCAATGGATTTTTTCCCACTCACTTTTTTCTTCAGTCCCCTGCAGTTTTAGGAGAAAAGTGGAGAATGGGGATTCTTTTGGGAGACAAAAAGAGTTTTGATTTCATTCTTTCAATTATCAACGCTGTGATATACGTGAATCCCTTGTTATTTTCCTTCTCAAATTATATAAACGAAAGTATTGGTCATGTTCACAAAGTGACTGCACCCCTTAGAGATTGTCTTTATTACTCCAGCCATTCCTGGGAAATCCACAAACATTGCTGTATGATCCAAATCGTTCCTAATCATGATGCTTTCGCCCCAGACCCTCATCTGATTGCTGTATATCCCTATTGGGGCTTCACCAGTAGACCCCTAACTGATTGCCATGGATTTACTTACACAACAAATTTTCTTCATTTCTGTACAACAAATTGAGTGAATATTCATACTTACCTTACTTTCAGTAATTCTATGACCAATAACAACTTAATTTACTAGTACTAGTTATTAAAAATATATTGTCATTTCCACAAAAATTTCACACACTTTACAGCTACCCAGTTCAAATAGTAAAATTTTGTGCTTAAACTTTCCACCCACCAACAGGTTGGGTGCATTTTTCCTGAAAGATAATTATGGAGTGGATTTGAATCCTTCTTGGACATTTGTTTCACCTATTATGTGTGACTTGCATATAATAAAGGAGACTACAGCCATACTTAAAGCTTTACAACAGTGTTTCCTTCAAACACTAATATTGAGATAATATTCTTATTGATCAGATGTTGACACCTGACCCCAGTGGATTAATGCCACTTTGGTATTATTATGTGAAAAAGATTAGTTATGACTCAGAATATCTCAGGTTTAGTACTTTCTTTTTCAGTATAGCATTGTTCTATTCAGATTTCTTATGTATATCATATATATATATATTATATATATTTATAATATATATATATATATATATATATATATATATATATATTATATATATATATATATGTATATATGTATATATGTATATATGTATGTATATATGTATAATGTATATATGTATATATGTATATATGTATATATGTTATATATGTATATATGTATATATGTATATATGTTATATATGTATATATGTAATATATGTATATATGTATATATGTATATATGTATATATGTATTATGTATATATGTATATATGTATATATGTATATATGTATATATGTATATATGTATATATGTATATATGTATATATGTATATATGTATATATGTATATATGTATATATGTACATATGTATATATATATATATAATGTATATATGTATATATGTATATATGATATATGTATATATAGATAGATAGATAGATAGATAGATAGATAGATAGATAGATATGATGTTCATGGGATTACACATTTGCTTTACTTTTAGGTGCATACATAATTGGCATACATGATATTGTATAAAATTATTTGAGAAAAAATTCTGTAGTATTATATTTTCTTTTATATACAGTACTATAAAAATCTAGAATGTTGCCAAGGGTAGCATATGACAGAATTGTCTTCAAACATGTCTTTTACAATTTGATAATTATGACAGCATATGCAGTAAAATGTGGTGGTGGTGGTGGGGGGATGCGTGTGTGTGCATACATGCATGTTATGTATGTGCATATGTGCAGACATGTATGCCAAGCACGTATGTGTTGTATTGATTTGTAATGCCATTAGCCCTTTTAATCTTAATCAGTGAAGGTTTTTAATACCTGAACCTTTACTAACTTTACTAATAAAACAAAATGTTAGAGAGATTTATGAAAACTGAAATGATCATATATATGGAAATGCAGAAGGTATTCATCTTAGTTATTAACAATAGAAAAAATTAACTGCAGAATGTGAACTAAATACATGGAATAAAACATACTGTTTTTTTTTTTTTTGAGAAGCATTTTTCATGTTAAAGGTTAACTAGTAATAGAAAAGGGTCGATATCCTTGATGGCTATTCAGAGGAAATAACAAGTTATTATTTATTGTTTTTGTTTTTAATTAATTTCATGTAGAAATTTCTAATGCAGTGATATGATAGGAAAATTTTTCTGGAATATCACAGATTGAATGTTTATCATTACTTTTATTCTATTTTATATATATTTTTTTTTCTTTCTTTCTTTCTTTTTTTTTCTTTTCAGATTCCCTCAAGATGAGTGCTCAAGCATACCTCTCTCCAGCATCCTGAAATCCAAGCATGAAGAAGTAGAAGGAGATGAAGCCAAAGAAAAAACACGCGAGGAGTGGAAGAAAGCAAAAGAATTAGAAGAGGCTCGAAAGGCAGGTACTGTTCAGCTGCTGTAGATGAAGAAGGAAAGGACATCAACCCTCATATTCCCAGTACATTTCCACTGCTCCTTGGTATTTTGGTTTCTGGCGGTCCAACCTTAAAACATCAACGGCCTCAACCAGAAAAACAGAGTTCTTTTAACCACCTCAATGAGCATTATGCTAGGGGCCAGAAAGGAAGTGTTGCCACACGTTATCGTAAAGGTGCATGTGAAAATTGTGGGGGTTTGGGTCACAAAAAGAAGGATTGTGTTGAAAGACCACGAAAAGTTGGTGCAAAATTCACATGCCCGCAACATTGCTGCAGATGATGTATTACTTCCAACTCTTAAGCTGGACTTTGATGGGAAAAGAGATCGATGGAATGGTTTCAATCCAGCAGACTATGCTGCTGTTGTTGAAGAGCATCAGAAAGTTGAAGAATACAAGAGACAGTTGAAAGCTAAGAAGTTAAAGGACGGTGAGGAGATGAGCGATGATGAGCCTGATGATGATGATGAAGATGAGGACAAGTATCCTGAAAGTGTTGACATGCCAGGTACAAAAGTGGACAGCAAACAGAGAATTACAGTGCGTAATTTGCGTATCCGTGAAGACACTGCCAAGTACTTGAGGAATCTTGATCCCAATTCAGCATATTATGATCCCAAAACAAGATCTATGAGGGACAACCCATATCGAGGAACAGGAAGAAAGGATGATGAAGTTGATTTTGCAGGAGAAAATTTTGTCAGGTTTACAGGTGATACTGTAAACCAAGCTAAAGCCCAGCTCTTTGCATGGGATGCTTATGAAAAAGGTGTGGATGTTTAGTCTTCAGGCAGAACCAACAAAGCTTGAGTTACTAAAGAAGCAATTTATTGATAAGAAGGATGAATTCAAAAAGAAAGTTTCAGATGACCTTCTGGAAAGTATGGAGGGAAAAGAACATCTTGATGTTCCACCCACTGAATTGCTGTTGTCCTCAGACAGAAAATTATGTTGAGTATTCCCGTCATGGTAAAATTATCAAAGGTGCAGAAAGCAAGTTGTAAGATCCAAGTATGATGAAGATGTATACCCAAGGAACCACACAAGTTTGGGGTAGTTATTGGCGTGATGGAGTATGGGGTTACCGTTGCTGCCACTCATTCATCAAAAATTCTTACTGCACCGGAGAGGCTGGAAAACAGTCAAATACAGAAGTCCTCTTACCTGCTGCCTCTACATCAGCTGAACCAGAAACAGCAGAGGAAAAAGAGAGAGAAAACTCTGCTTGAATTACATCAAGAGAAAATAGACAAGAAAAAGAAAAAGAAAAGGAAAAGGAAGAGCAAGAAAAAGAAAAGGAAGCATGATAGTAGCAGCAGCAGTAGCAGCAGCAGCAGCAGCAGCAGTAGTAGCAGTAGCGATTCAAGCAGTGAGTCTGAGAGTGAAGAACAGAAGGAAGAAAAGCGTAGGAAGAAGCTGCGTGAGGCTTTGATCCGAGCTAAGATGGAAGAAGATGAAGCTGCAAATATGATGAAAATGGATGAGCGCATGAGAAAGTACAATTCAATGTATAATGCTAAGGCACCAACAGAAGAAAGAGATAGAAGCTTACCAGTTAAGAAGACAAAGAGAGGATGACCCAATGGCAGCATTTTTAGGCAAATAAACTGAATTGCAGGTGTGTCGTACTCCTCAGTGCTGCCCTTGTGTAATTTCTTTCTTTGATGTGCACATTGTGGGAGGGATTGGGAAATACTGTATATAAAACAAAGAATACATATTTGTTAAGAGAACTTAGAGTAAAATTGTGTTATATCTCATTAATGTGCAGATTT